TTGTACATATATTATATGCTTAATCCCTGCAATTGCATATTATATACGCATAATATTTGTACCCATTTTCCTGATGTAGAGGGTTCACTGTAATTCTACAAAATAATACATTTAATTAAGATAAACTAGGATTTCAAAGAAATCAGAGAATTGGATGATAGAACCTTTAACATGTATAAATAATGTTGTAATTTTCTCAACTTCATGTATCATCTTCATCTTTATCATCATCATAATAATAATTTAATAAATAATGCTGTCCTTAACCTTGTCCTTGTCCTTGTCATAGACTTCAAATTATATTTTTTGTAATGATAATAAATCTATCTCTAATAATGAATTCATACTAATCCCAAGCATAATAAATTTTCTCTTATTTTGTATTTGTTTATTTTTTTTATTATTTTTTATTTCTTTTCTTTTCTTTTAATGAGGTAATATTTAATGAATTTTATTTAGTAGTTTTTAGATATGTGCCTGACTTGGTAGTAAAGAGGAAAACAGTTAGAAGACACCCACCAAGAATCATGATCAGGATATCTAAAGATATTATTTAGTATTTCTTATTGTAAGGAATTGTTTGATGATAGTGAAAGATATTTTTGAGAGTAAAGCATAAATATGCATTCATGGAAATTATTATTATGATTTAGTATAAATAAATTGTATTAACATTGTTGACATATTATTATAAATAAAATATTGAGATTTACTGTGAGGCATGGATTTTTATCTCACAATGATCATTTTTATTATTATTATTTATAGTGTTTATAGATGATAAAAATGTTAAAACAGTATATATAAATGTTGAATATAAAAATGCTAATAAAATAATAAATAAATAATACTAAATGATGATAAGAGACATGGTGATAGGTTAGTAGTTGTATCCACCAAATGATATTCACCAATTATTCACCAATTATCCAGTTAATTGTGTGTTGAAAATTGTCACTGGATTTGAATTTTATTGACTGACTGATTATCCAGGTGTTGAGCTTTATTATTATTGATGACCAAGTACTCAAATACCCAGATAATCGATGGATACACCACTATGATAGGTCATTTCAATCATAAGGAGGGTTTGCTTTAATTTAAAATAGATAGCATATAATCATTAAAAAAATTTTTTTTGATAATAATAAAAAAAATAATGTGAAAATTTCAATAATCAGATAAATAAAATTTATTTATAAATTATCTGGTATAGTTAATTCAATTTGTTTAGAATCTGACATAGTTAATTCAATTTGTTTAGATTCTATAATTGTTTATGATTTAAAATATCATTAATAATAAATAATTAAGATTAAATATTTAAACAATAAATTAGATAATTACCATTATTATTACTAATAATTGTAACTTTATTGGAGTTTACAGGTTGAGGAAGATTT